AATTCGTAGCAGAAATTAGCTACTGTAAACGCAAGCTCCAAATAATTATAAAGAGAGACGTTTCGCACACAAATAATTTTTTGAAGCTTCCTCCCATACTTCTTGTGCATAGATCTATTGGGTTTGTATCGCTGTATCGTACAAAGATTCCGTATTTTCGAGTAGGGATATTTATATTGGTTATGAATGGCAAAAATTGATTCTAAGAGTTCATTGTGTTTACTGCAGTGCTGTGCTAAAAGTGCTGATATAAGTCTCACACTGACTGAGAATAGCATTAAAAGTTCAATAATCGGAAGTAATAACATTGGGAACGTGAGGTTGAGCGGAACCGGGAGTGAAAATTAGTAATCGAACTGGAAATAAAAGTTGAATTGTCTGCGATAAGAAGATAACTACTCATGGATTGAATGAAGGAAATATAGCAAGGATAGTTCGAAGATTAGTGGTTTGGCGCTCAGGGGAACTATTCATTAAGAAACTTCACAGGGCTTAAAGAAGAACAACAACATGGTTTATGTAACATGCATCTTCAACATTTGAATTAAATATTTCGCAATGCTTATCTGAGTCATAAATCAGTTTTGTTGGGAATAATGCGTGATTCATTCGCACATGTAGATTTTTTGGAAGACAATTTATATTCACCGTCACCATAAGAAATTGGCCTACCAACTTACAGAAAATTAATTAGAATAAAGTTGAATGAAAATTTACCCCCTATGGAGGTATCCTCTTGACTTTCCCTTATCATAAACATCTGTTGGTCGTCTGCAGTTTTTTTTTGACCATTTTCTGCAGCTAATAACTTCAAACTAAGTTATATTTTCTGGAAAAATTCCTTCCATTGTTTACCTATCGATCCGGTCTCTGTGACGCCCCTTTTCTTCTCCTAAATTTTTTTTCATCTTTTCGCAAAATGACTAAAACTTTATGAATAAAACTGAGTGTGCGTCGCAGGAGATTCCAGGGCTAAACATATATGTAGATATTGATAACGCGGCTCAGGAAAATTGTTCTAACAGATACTGGAAAATTGCTGATTGGTTATTGTGCTTATTGTGTTTGTGACGTCATTAGAGTCGTCAAGAAAAATTTAGATGAGATCAACAAAGCATACAGATAGAATGAGCAACGCTTTGACTTGGAATAGAAGATATGAGATAATTTGAGTGCCAAAATTAGATACAAAAACGTAAATGTTTCTGAGAATCCGATTATAGCCTTTAAGAACAACATAACAAACAACCCTTTTCTTTAATGGACGTTTTTTTTATGAACGTCCACAAAATGATACACAAGAAGCTTGGACTAAAGATCGAGGTGATATATCTGGTGGTTGCATACACTGCCGTAATTCTCTGCATACTTCTTTTCCCGTAATTTTCCAGATTTAGCCAAACAAAGTATACATATACATTTTGAAAACTTCTTTCTTGATCTACAAATTCACCCGTAGCTTTCTGAAACCTTTTGATGTTCCTCGGAGCGAGCTGAAAAAGAGAATATCGGTTCTTTACAAAACATGCTCAGTATCTAGTATTGCTTGCCTTTATCGAGATCAGATCAGCGAACGGGTTCATATCTGTTTGGCTAGTGGAGAAGACGTTTTCCTGTGGTACTGCTATAGACTGCCTCACTAATTTCAATTCTCCGGTAAGCCCCCGTTGATAGAGACCATTTCTCTACATTCAATGTAACATACCTTGCTCAAAACGCTGTAAAATCTTTTCACAATGCGTTTCTCAAAATGACTCAACGATTTCGTTGGCTGTATTGGAACAGGTCCTAAGCAGTGGGGTTGTTGTCTTTTGTTCAGTTTATTGTTATTATTCCAGATAGAGTTCCAAACA